TGATTGGAAGATCTACTCCCCAAACTTCCATGGACATTGATTATGGAAACATTGGAAATACAGAAAAGTCTTCTCTTCCCAATGGAAAAGGATCGGCCATAGTCAACCCGGTTGACCAAATGGTAAAGAGAAGGACTAAGTTTGATATTGTGCCATGTGCCATTCCCAAAGAGTCCATATGTTTCTGTTGCCAAAAGAAGGGGCATTTGTTGCGAAGCTGCCATATTTACCTGAAAGATCGCAAGGACGGTAAAGTCAAAAAGTTTGACTCTACTTCAGGTAAGTCCATTATCTAACTCTATTAAGTTCCTAATTGTTGATTCTTAATACATGATGTGACAAGGTTGCATTTTGATGTTTTGTAGGATCATGCAAAAGGAAGGAAGCTTAAAGCAAGAGCATGTTGAATCTGATCGCGAAGAGATGAATTTCGATCGCATGGTTCGAAGATCAGATTCTTGAGCTGTTGCTTAGGAGTTATGATAGATTGCTTAGAAATTTGTAATAACATAGTTTTCATTTGTGATTGCATTGTAAGGAAAAGTTTTTCTGCATTTTATAAATAAATAAAATTTTGTTTTATTTTATTATATCTCCTTGAAATGGCATTTGTGAATATTGATGTTTGTATGTTTCTATGTTAGCAATATGAATTTGATTCTTTCGTTTGTGGTAGTGTCGAGAATTTGCCAAATAAGGAAAGACTCTCATCACCCAAGTTTCAGTTTGACATAAACTTGGAATCATGCAAATGGTATTGTATGATGAATGAGAATATTCGTCTTTAAGAAATTAAGACTAATTCCTTGTTCACATGAATATGTGAGTCAAGTGAAGGACTAGGGGATTGGGTACACTGGGTGTGTGCTGGTCAGGTCCACCACAAAGAACGATAAGACTATTCATCATAATTTACTAAAGTTTAGTAAATATGGTTATGCTTACAAGTTTAAGTATAATTCTGAATCATTGAGAAAGTTCAATGTATGGCAGAACGAATGAGAATAATCAAATTAGGCAGAAAATAGAAGTTTCTCCAATCTAAAAAGATGGGAGAGTACTTGAGTATCGTGTTTATGATTATCTTAGTGATTATAAGACCATATCTCAAATGATCCTCTAAAGACAGCTTAGTGCACTTGCATGGCTAAGAAGAGGAATCGTGAATTGTTGAAATGGTTAAATCAAAAGGTGAATCATACTTCGTTTCAAAAACAAGTCTTAGAGTCGTACTCCAAGATTGTGCCTTGAGTGACATTAAATTAAGAAAGGTTTATAACACTTATCAGATGTAGAGTAAAATGTTTTCTACTCTTGTACATTTGAAATTGGTAAGTTGTGATGTTTTGGATAAAACAAAGACCAACTAAGGCCAATTGTGTGAAGTGTTAGTTTTGATTAGAATCCGCACTAACTCTTGAATATTTGTTTGTCAAGTAATGTTCCTTGACAAAGAGAGTCTTATATGTCAAGAGGTCAGTGGGAGTCTTAAAGATCTTGAATGTTTCAAGAACTAATCAAGAGTAAACCTATTGTAAACACTAGCACACGACTTGAGGTTTGTAACCTATCATGTTGACATATTCTTGTTTCGGTGCCCATTCCAGTTAAAGTTGACTATGTATGTGAGTTCTATGAGTTCTCAATTGTTTGCATAACAACTTGGAAGCAATGGTAGGCCCTTGTGCTGCCAAGTGGCGAGAAATTAAGATTGAACAAGTTCAGTCCATATGAGTTTGGATTTGTCACTACCCTTGTCTTATGATTATGGTTTGACAAATTCACATGGATAGGAACACATACACCATAAAAATCTAAGTTTCATAAGGTTTCTCTCCAATTCATGAAAATGATTGTGAGGAAACGCTTTCACTAAGAAGATTTTAAGGAGATAGCAATTGTGATATTTGCATTCTCAAATTCGATTATGATTACGACATCCCTCTTCATAATTCGAATTGTGAGAAATGGCAAAGGTGTAAACATTTGAGACTTATTGCTATAAGTTCTAAAATTGTTAAGACACACATGTGAGCTATCTAAGGAAAGGTGTATGATTTTGAGAAGCCTAGATAAAGTCTTATCGAAGCATCTCGTATTATAAATCTGAACTTTAGTAATGAAAGTCAACAAGTATTGATTTCTAGAAGTCCAGCTGATTTCTGGGTACATGTCCAAGCTAGTGGGAGCATAAGTGTTATGTTAGTAAGATAATAATTATTATGCTAGTGGGAGCATAATCATTATGGTAAGTGTTGCAAGTCAGCAATGTTAATTATAGAAAACAAAAGTTTTAATTCGCAAAGTTGTGGGTTTGAAAAGTTGTTTTGCTATAATTAAGGGAGAGGAAATTATACTTCATTTAAAAATCTAAAAGCTTAGATTGAGTTTTTAATCAAATTTAGTCAAATATATATGAATGTTATGTTGGAATGGTTCAACATAAGGAAATTCTATATATGGAAATGTTAATTGCGTTCTCAAAATTCAATTATGATTACGGCATCCCTCTTCATAATTCGAATTATGAGAACATGACAAATAGAAATATTATAGCAAAAGACTGATCAAGTATCATGTCTTTATGTTAGACATTATGAATCGCATCCCATATGCTTCGAGTATAGGATCGATTGCATATGCTATAATATTCTCGTGTTCTAATTTTCAAATGCCTAGGGCATTAAGATGGAAAAAGGAATAGAACCGGATATGACTAAAGTGGTTAAACAACTGTTAAGGACAATCTAAGGTTCGCCAAGGATTGGTCGCTTAAGGACAGTTGGAAGTATAGTTTAGAATCTAACACTTTCTAGCAGTGGCAAGAATTTGAAATTCTTACACTTGCAATAAAGATATGGAATTGTGAAATGAGCATCATTGAAATGTTTTCAATTGATCTATTTCACAAAGTAAGGATCATAGGTAAACATAGTGTGCATGCTTGGAGCATGGGACAACTATTGTTTTAATTCAAGTATTAAGTTGATTATACGAAACATTATACAATGAATAATGAGTAATCAATATGGCACTCAAAAGTTTTGGGGCCATATAGGATTAGTGTTATTCTTGTGTTTCACTTTGCATGTTTTGACTTCCCGAAAATATTAATTATTAAATCCGATTAATAATTATCTAGTAGCCAATTATGGATATATTAATTATCCTTTAATTAATCAATTAATTAAATTATTAACCATATCCATAAGGATAATTATAATCAAATAAAATCAACATTATCCAATTCATAATGATCTCCTAACATTTAGGTCATATTTAACTATCTAGTATTACCAAAATCAGATTATGACAGAATAAATAAAAGATAATTACCAAATATAAACCTAATAAATCAAGTTAGGCAAGAAAATCCGAAAACAGATATGACGCACCAACTCGACAAGTTGGAGGACCAAACTCGACGAGTTCATGATTTTGAGGGAACTCACTAAACTTTGGGCTTACAGTTTTGGATTATGTTTCAAGTACCTCAGAGGATCGTGGAAAGGCGAATGTGTGATCGTACACCTCCTCATGTTTTGTTTCATGATTTTGGGATTACTCTGATATTGAACCTGTTTTGAAAATTATTTGTAAACAACGATGATTTTTGGTTGTTTTAAAAGTTTAAATTTTTCATGAAATTTATGGATGTTACAGCTATTGCATAAATTATTGACAAGTAATCAACATGCTTAATTAGGCCGTGATGTTAGTTATTTAAGAAATATTATAAAAATGTTTTAACAAGTTAGCAATTTTCTTGATAGGCCGTTGCTATATAGAGATCTTCTAAATTTTACTTTATTTTATTTTGTTACATTCAATTAACGTTGAGGATCAATTATGAGATTGATTATGAACTTTACAAAAATAAAGTTTTTGGAAAAATTAACCAAGTAACACATTATGTTCAAATATTTAAAGTAAAATATATAATCTTAGCACGAACTTTTTACTATATATATATATATATATATATATATATATATATATATATATATATATATATATATATCAACGAGAAACAAATGAACGACTGATTTTTTATAAAACTAACAAGAAATTAGAGATGAAAAAAAAAACAAATACAAGGAAATAAAGTCGAACGTTACTTACTTTTCTAGTTCCCTACATGCTACTCACATTCCGAATATTTTCGTTCCATATCCATAATAAACCCTCTGGGATGAATCAAGATCTCAAAAAATCGTATCACCATGCCAATCATTTGGAAACAATATATTTAGAGGAAGAAGAGAAAAAAAAATGAGCACCTATAGACCCTAAGAAGGCTCCTCTACTTGAGATGATAGTTTTTAAATAAATCAATAGGCAAAATTGATTAATTAATATAAGAATCAACCCTTAGATGAATTTAATTTTAATGAGGTGTTGATCATTGACCCAAAATGAGAACTCTAGTTTACACCAATCATCTGACATGATGACTCGTTTCCTCAACCACTCTTAGGCTACCCGGAGTGGGTTCACACACACGCGTGACTTTCCTATGTGGTACACATTTGTCACACCAACCCATCGGTGAACACCGCCCCATAGATTGGTGGTTTGACTGTGAAGTGGGTTCTAGTGGTTATGAAGACGGAAGAAGACGGGCATTCTCACTGGTGGGTTAGTTGTGAAATGGTAAAATACCTACGTGGCGCTGAGGTGGCTGGTGGTTTGGTTGTGACCACTCCCCATAGCCTTATAGATTACTTTTTTTTAGCTTCTCATCTATTTATAGGAAGGACTTATCTAAATACGATCATAAAAAGTATGATGCCATGTCATAATCTTTTGCCAGAATTTGACGAATGAGCATCAGTTGGACCATTTTTACGCATATAATTGATTAATAGTGTGATTGATAGATTATTATAAGTTTAGGGAGGTAAATTGACAAAACATAAATCTCGAGGCGTCAAATCGAGAAATTGGTCTACAGTTCAAAGGGGAAATTTTATCAGAGTGATTGATATATAAAAGAGAGAGAAAATGCGAATCCGTCTCTTCATACCCAAGACGCCGAACGGTGAGCTGCAACACCATCAACCACCACCGTCGCTGGAAACCTCGAGATTTGAACTCGAACTCTTGCCGTTTTTTTCTAGCTCATTTGAAGTAAGTCCATCTTTCTCTCTCCATATCTGTATCCTATCTCTATGCCTCTATGGATATGAAACTAGGGGTGGGATTTTCTTTGAATTGAACTGCTATATACGTATCTACACGTATATACATGGGGCATAAGAAGCGGAACGTTGCCACTCGCTCCAAAGCGGTGACAGCTGCTGTTAATACTCCTCCAGCCCCGTCGTCGTTTCCAATCGGTAACGACAGCAGCGATGGTGTTGAGGCTAGTTCACTCTCTACGGAACATAATTTAGGTGTGCATTCGTCGACTGTTCAAATAGTACAACGAAAAACTGATGTTCCTTTAGCGATTGAATCGGATAGTTACTCTACTGTGAAAGTCGAGTGTGAGAAAGCCTTAACTGCGCTCAGACGGGGGAACCATAAAAAAGCCCTACGCTTGATGAAGGAGATGTGTGGAAAACATGAGAATTCGAATCAGTTGGCGCTGATTCATAGGGTGCAAGGAACCATCTGTGTTAAGGTTGCTTCCATTATTGATGATCCCAATGCAAAGCAGCGGCATTTGAAGAATGCAATTGATTCGGCTAAAAAGGCAGTGATGTTGTCACCAAGTTCAATTGAGTTTGCACATTTTTATGCAAATTTGTTGTATGAATCAGCTAATGAAGGGAAAGATTATGAAGAGGTGGTGCAAGAGTGTGAGCGTGCTTTGGCTGTTGAGAATCCCGTAGATCCAGGAAAGGAGAGTTTACAGGACGAGAGCCAGCAGAAGATTTTGTCTGCTGATGCAAGGATTGGGCATGTACAGAATGAACTCCGGTCATTGGTTCAGAAGTCCAACATTGCTTCAATTTCGTCTTGGATGAAGAATCTAGGAAATGGGGAGGAAAAGTTTAGGCTCATTCCTCTTAGGAGGGTTCCGGATGACCCCATGGATGTAAGGTTAGTGCAAGCCAGAAGGCCAAATGAAATTAAGAAAGCAAATAAGACAGACGAAGAACGTAAGAAAGAGATTGAAGTAAAAGTGGCTGCAGCAAGGCTGTTGCAACAGAAGTTAGAGTCATCTCAATCCCAAACTGATGGAGATAAGAGTTCAGAACTTTCTTCTGGATCTAGCCAGCGTGTGGGTGAACGGAGGAAGAGTGTGAAGGTGAAAAAGAATGCAACATCTGCTGAGAGAAAGGATTGTGTTCATCCTTTTTGGAAGTCCATGAACTTGGATTCAAAGAAAGACTTGTTCAAGATTAGTGTATCAGATCTTAAGGCCCATTTTAGATCACTAAAAGATGTATCGGCTTATGAAGTCATTTCTGAAGCTTTGTCCTTCGGGGAAGCTAATAATAGTTGGAAATTTTGGATGTGCTGCAGATGCAATGAGAAATTTCCAGATCCTGAACTGCACATGCAGCATGTTATAAGTGAGCACATGGGTAGCTTATTGCCCAATTTGCAGGAAATGTTGCCTCCAAGTGTAGACAATGAGTGGACTGAAATGCTTCTAACATTCCCTTGGAAACCACTTGATGTCAATGCTGCGATCAATATGGTCGAAATGCAATCAGGTTCATTAGCTGCTAGCTTTGATGATAGACCATATTTCCATCCTGACAGCTGGCCACTTGCTGAAGACATTGAGCGGACAAAGCTAGTTGAAAAAATCCATTCATCATTCCAGTTGCTTATTAAACATAAATACCTTGCAGCTAGTCATCTTACTAAGGTTATACAGTTTGCAGTGGATGAGCTACATTCTCGGCTTATTAATTGCAGTGTGGATCAATCACCCATTTGCATATGCTTTCTAGGAGCACCCGAACTTAGGAAAGTGCTCAAATTCTTGCAAGAGATATCTCATTCTTGTGGACTAAGTAGGTATTCAGAGAAAGGTAATCTTGTGGAAGACTTGAATAGGTCCACCCGTGTGATTGAAATGACTGAAAAGATAGTATTCAATGAAGATAGATCATGTCTCTTGTTAGAGCCGTGTCTTCTTACTAGTGTTGGCTCTGAAAATGGGTTGGTATATGATGATGATTCTTTATTGTCATGGATATTTTTGGGTCCAACAAGTGGGGAACAGTTGACATTCTGGATGCGGTCTAGAGAGGAGAGGGTGCATCAAGGCATGGAAACTCTACAGATGCTTGAAAAGGAATTTAATCATCTCCATGCGTTATGTGAAAGAAAGTTAGAGCATACAAGCTATGAAGAAGCTTTGCAGCAAGTGGAAGATCTCTGTCTAGAGGAAGGTAAGAAAAGGGAATACTCTACAGAATCTACACGACAAAGTTATGAATTTGTTTTGAGGAAGCGACATGAAGAGCTTATGGTGAGTTGCGATGATGCCATGCCACCTGTCAACAAATTTGAGGTGGATGCCTTGGCAAATGTTTTAAAAGAAGCTGAATCTTTGAATGTTAACCAGTTTGGGTTTGTGAATTCTCATCTATGTGACTTGGAATCTGGTGAATATGACTATCTGCATCAAGTGGATTCTTGTATAGAAGTTGCAATCCAGAAGCAGAAAGAACAGTTGTCGATTGAGGTTAGTTTGATTTATGGAGATGTATATTTTATATTTATGTGTAGTATCTGTACTTCATCTTACTTTTTTGAAGATACAGCTCAGCAAAATTGATGCAAGAATCATGCGAACTGTAACTGGAATGCAGCAGTTGGAATCTAAGCTCAGTCCTGCATCTGTCCATGATTTTGGACTCATAGTTGTGCCTCTAGTAAAGTCTTTCTTGCGGGTTCGTATATTTATGAGTTTCTATTGACTGTTACCATGCAATCCCTTTAAAATGATATATTTTTCCCCCTATTTTGACTTTTCTTTAGGCGCTCCTAGAAGATTTAGCAGAGAAAGATGCCACAGAGAAGTCGGATGCTGCAAGAGAAGCTTTTCTAGCAGAACTTGCTCTAGATTCTAAAAAGGGGACTGGTAATGATAAGCTAAAAGATAAAAGAAAGAACAGGGATTATAGAAAAATAAAGGATTCTAAGGTTCGAAACAAATGAGTGTTACTTATGTTCTAATGTTCTATAAGACAATGGATTGGAATGCTTGCTAATAATCCTGTTATGCGTGCAGGCTATAAACAATAGTGAGCTACATATTTTAGCCCATGAGAATGCAGAAACTGTTGATGAAAATGAAGATGCTTTTAACCAACTGAAAGATGAAGCAATGCGTAGAAAAATCGAGCTTGAAGCCGAGGAAAGAAAGCTTGAAGAAACTTTGGAATATCAAAGACGGATTGAGAATGAGGCAAAACAAAAGCATCTTGCAGAGCAACTTAAAAATAATCATGCAGACAATGAGTTAAGATCTTCAAGGCAGGTGAGTATTGAAGTGGGTGCATGTTATTGTTGCCTTTTTTTCATGTTAGATGCAACTATGAGTTGTGATAATTGCATGTGAATGCTCAAGGATAATAAAATTTTGCTTTAATAGGTGACTTACAATTACATACCTTTTCTTCTAGGAACCACTGAAACAGAATAATGAAGGGATTGCAGAAGATGCGGTTTTGCTTTTCGATCAGAAAACAGGAAGAAAAAGTAGGCGCCAAAAAAATGCCACCAAATTAATTGATGGGAAGCAGCAACCTGTGTTGTTGGAGAAGGAAAATGTTGAAGTTGGACAAATTCTGCTCATAAAGGGTGTTGAAGATGATAACAGTAAGTGTCTCTTGTTATTTTAACACCCATTGTTTTTGTCTCAAAGCTGCAACTTTCTCGGTTTAATTAGCATAATAATAGCAATGTACTTCTACTTTCATTCTTCCTATTATAGCATTATACTTTGAAAAATCTTCGGAACTATATCAATGTCATCTAAATACAAATCAAGTTTCACTGCTATACGAGGGAAGAAAATTCAAAGTATAATGTCCTTTCAAGAAAGAACATACAATGCTATACTTTGTAGATTTTTCAAAGAACAATGCCTTGATTAATAGAAAGATATGAAAGTAGGATGATATAATACACATATTAATGAAAGTATGTTGCTGTTTATGATTTAGGGTTGCTTAGCTAACCCTGAGTTAGCTCAGAGTAGGGTTTTTAAAAATTTTAAACGTTTTATCATTAAAAATTTAATCTACTGCAACTTATTATGTGAAGAAATGATCTCATCAAATGGAGTTCATTTTGCCTGAACAACAGATAGTTCTTATTCAGGAGAAACTGGAACAAAGACATTGAGGCAGTTGCAAGCAGAAGAGGATGATGAAGAAAGATTCCAAGCTGATCTTTTAAAAGCTGTACGCCAAAGCCTTGGTATTTTTTTTTCTTATCTCTACCAGAAGAATCTATGATTATCATGTTATTTTGATTATTTTGACGTGATTTACCCATAGCATTCTCAATAAATGCAAGACATAGCAGCTTACTGTCATTTGTTGTGTATTACAGCATCCTACTTTCACTTTTTTTTTTTTAAAAAAATTATTTTTTCAGCATAATACTTTGAATTTTTATTTTTTCTTATTAAGACACTGTAGTTTTGAAAAATCTACCCAATTAATCATATCAGTGAAAATTGCTTTCTGTTTCAATTAAATTGCTATAATGGGGTAGATTTTTGAAAGTAAAATTCTGTAACAGGAAGAATTGAACAAATCAATGAAAGTATGTTGCTCTTTCTTGCATATAATCTGAAAATTATGTTACATATTTCTCATACCAGAAGGGGAAGTCTCTCGTGTAACATCTATAGAAGTCTTCTCTGACAAGGCAAAGGCAAATGCAAGCGATGTATATGGTACAGGCCTGAAGAATGAAGCTGGTGAATACAACTGCTTTTTAAATGTCATTATTCAGGTCGGTATGTTTACTTACCTTTTTAATTGGGTTAACATTAACTGCAGGAAATACCAACATACTTTCATTCATTTGTTGATCATAATAGGCAGCATTCTACTTTGAAAAATCCACAAAAAAAAAAAAAATGGAAGTGCAATGCCATAATCAGATAGATCTTTCAAAGTACAATGCATAATAAGAAAACAATTGGAAGTACAATGATGTAATAATAAAAGATAAATGGGAGTTTGATTCCATAATACACAGCACAAATATATATATATATATATATATATATATATATATATATTAAGTATGTTGTTATATCTTGCATTTAGGTGTTTTTAATTTTGTCAAGGGAATGAACCTTTTTCTCCTTCAATTTAAACTGCAGTCGTTATGGCATTTGAGAAGGTTCAGGGAAGAGTTTTTGAGAAGGTCCACATCAGCTCATCGCCATGTTGGCGATCCATGTGTGACTTGTGCTTTGTACGAAATTTTTATTGCTTTGAATACGGCTTCAATGGAGACAAGAGGTGAATCTGTTGCTCCTACTTCTCTGAGGATTGCTCTGAGCAATTTGTATCCAGACAGTAGTTTCTTTCAGGAGGTATATTCTGATATTCATATGGATAAAAGTAAAACTTATTGTTAATAAAATAAAGTTAAGCCCCAACAAAATCAATTAAATTTCAGCATATGATATGATATGACAGGCTCAAATGAACGATGCTTCTGAAGTATTGGGAGTGATATTTCATTGCCTTCACGAGTCATTTATATCTGCTGATTCTGATTCTGATATGAAACAAGTGGAAAGCAATGGCAATGTGGCAGGTGGTTGGGAATGTGCAAATAGTGGGTGTACAGCACATTCTCTTTTTGGAATGGACATTTTTGAACAGATGAATTGCTACAATTGTGGGTTGGAATCTAGACGTATGAAATACACTACTTTCTTTCACCAAATCAATGCCAATGCCCTCAGGACTATGAAGGCATGCCTGCTTGCTTCTATCCATCTCCTTAATTTCAATTTTCATTTAATTAATGATTATCAAGTTTCTGTTGTAATTTCAGGTTATGTGTCCAGAGAGCTCATTTGATGAGCTGTTAAACCTTGTTGAGATGAATCATCAGTTAGCTTGTGATCCTGAGGATGCTGGATGTGGGAAGCTTAACTATATTCATCATATTCTTTCTACTCCACCTCATGTTTTCACTACAGGTTGGTGATGGATGATGAGTCATCAGATGGTCAAACTCAAGGTCAAACCATATATACATATTTTTTTTTTATAACTAAGGTTTTGTTTTTGTAGTGCTTGGATGGCAGAATACTTGTGAAAGTGTTGAAGACATAAAGGCCACATTGGCAACCCTAGCTACTGAAATTGATATCAGTGTTCTTTATCGTGGCCTTGATCCCATGAACAGGCATTGTCTAGTTTCAGTGGTAAATTACGCTCATTAAATATAATATTTTTTAAAAAATATATATTTTTTACTTGTTAAGTTTGTTAAAATATTATTTTTTAGGTGTGTTATTACGGGCAGCACTACCATTGCTTTGCCTACAGTCATGATCATCAACAGTGGATGATGTATGATGACAACACAGTCAAGGTATTTATTTATTTATTCACTCTGTAATTTTTTTATTTATTTTTCTTGTGTAGTAAAGTAAAGTAAAGTAATAAGGAGAAATATGTAATTTTGTAGGTGATTGGAAGGTGGGAAGATGTCCTTACAATGTGTGAAAAAGGACATCTGCAACCCCAGGTTCTTTTCTATGAAGCTGTACACTAAATAGCAAACCATTCAGACATTATTACATTTTTTGATGGTGATAGACGGATATGTGGAGTTACACAAACACAATCAATGTATGTGCATTTTAGCAAACCAACGGATACATACATAAAAACATGACAAGAAAGAGAGATGATGTTATATGTATTAGTATAAAGAAATTTTGTAGGAGAAATTGAAATTGGCCTTCCCAGCAAAGTTTTGATCTGGAATTTGGAAAACAAGAAGATGTAAATTGTTGTCAGATGGATCAAATTCAATGTAAGTGGCTAAGCAATAGTTATGAATGTGCCATAGACTCTACTTTTTACAATTTTGAAAGAGCTACTGTATAGATCGATCATACTTTTGGTAAGATGATGAAAACTCGGGTTTTGGGTTACCCAAGATGTATGACATTTCAACTCTTGTACTATTGGACTTGTGATTAAAAATAATAATTAAGTGAAGAAAGCCCGCGTGCTCTTCTTTGCCATTATTCTGTTATTTACAAATACAATATATATATATATATATATATATATATATATATATATATATATATATATATATATATATATGATTTCAATTCTTGTAAAACAAACCAAATAAGTTGGAAATAGGCAAAACTCTTTAATATGGGTATTTTAGAAGCTTATACACCTAGCATGTTAAATGCAGTAGCATTTAATCGATGATAAAGATGGATGTCAGGTTGTAGGTTTTGTAGTTCAAGAATGCAATTGTGGGTTTTGTCGTCACAATGGGTTTATAGTTGGAGGTATGGTTGTTAGGAACCTGATCTTGATTTTAAGATCTCACGAGTGAAAAACAATCTGGATTAGACCAACATCAATTTGAAGTTGTATCTATTTGATCGGATCTTATCTCTTTCAGTCTTTTTATATAGCAGAGCCTAAAAAAATCTTTCATTCAACTAGAAATTGAGCATCACATACCGCAAAATGTCTCATCTTCATCTCAAATTACAGAGTATTGTGACACTCATGATATTCCCTTGTGATCTTATGCCTTTAGTTGTATATGGTCACGGTGATCGTGTTTCTTTTTCTGTTTAAGATGTTTTTTTTCCTAACTTTTGTAGTTTGCGACAACAAAAATTATGGTTCATGCTTAAGAAGTTAAAAGTGATTCTACAATTGATTTCTTAATCAATGTTTGCACTAAAAAAATAGGATCTTGCAAACAGATAGTATGAAAAGAAGGCCAAGTATATCCATGGCATTAGCATTTTCGATCTTTAAATGTAAGACTACACTTGTGATTTAGGTATAATATCAGTTATCATACGATAAGTATTCATAGTTTTATGTAATTAAAATCATTATGAGGAGTTTATTTATAGAACATTGTGAGGGGTTATAGGCACAAAAGCCCAAAAATTTATTAAAATAGTACGGCTTTATCCTAAAATTAGTTAAAACACTTGTAACATGTTACCATAGGTTTTTATGTTATTATGAAACTCACAAGAAAAGTTTAAATTTGCAATTCTTTTATATTTTTCAATATTATAACTATGTAATGTAATTTTATTCTTGCACAATATGTGTAGATTCAAGTAGTTAGTTGTATAACATGGTTTCTTTTAAGCACTGCTACGTTTTTTTTTATTTATTTTTATTTATTTTTTGTTGTTGTTGTTGTATAAAGGTAAATAATATTTTATAAATTGAAAAAAAAAAAAACATTCTTGCCATATATGCTTGCTTGATCATATAAAACTAAATAATATTTATTATGATTTATCTTATCTCAACCAAATTAATATCTCTTACATTAATTACCCCCCAAATATTATTCACTCTTCGAAATTCGAATATAATATCTAGTTATCTACTACAAATCTCCAAATTTTAAGACGTTAAACTATGCTATTTAAATGGAAGGCGTAAATTAAGAAGAAAGTGAAATATGTTTGCAGATTTTTATATAAGAGAATATTATTCAATTTTTAAACCTCCAAGACCCACAGTGAAGTGAGTCTGACCACATGTCAAAATTCAAAACTCCACATGCAAAGCAAACAAACTCCCACTTAATTCGCATTCTTCGTTTTTTACTTGGTCTCATTAACTCCACCAAATCCTCTCATGCATACAAACAATACATCAGACTCCTTCCAATTCTCACTTCCTTGCTTTTTTCACCATTTCTTACCCAAATTTGGCTCCCGGCTATGACCCTCAAAGGCGGCACCACCCAAGCATGCGCTGCCTGCAAATACCAACGAAAAAGATGCACCCCTGAATGCCCACTTGCCCCCCACTTCCGCCCTGAACACACCGAGATCTTCAAAAACGCACACAAACTATTCGGTGTCAAAAACATCCTTAAAGTCCTCGATCAAATCGACCCTTCTCAAAAAACCGAAGCCATGCGTTCCATGATCTACCAAGCCAACATGCGCGACCGCTTCCCCGTTCACGGTTGCTACGGGATCGTCATTCAGCTTCAGATTCAAATTCGCCAGGCCGAGAAAGAGCTCTACGCTGTTTTATCGCAGCTCGAGTTTTATAAAAACCAGAGGCCACAACACGAGATCGTGTTGTCGCCTCTCGACTCCCCCGAGTCGCAACGGTTGCAACTCGGAATGGGAGTCGAACAACCGGGCAGTGCCACCGCCACCACGGCGGCACTTACCCTTTTTCAACATGAAGGTGTTGGTGGTGGCGATAGTCACCAACAACACCAGCAACCACAACAACAACCATTTGTTGGGTTACCGATTCCATCGTATAGTGGAAATGGGAATGCGCATGATGGGTATAATAATAATTCAGGGATTCATATGGATTTGAAGGAGAATATGAATTTTGTTTGGGGTCAACAAACATATTGTAATGAGAATGAGAATGAGAATGATGATGGTGGAAAAGGTGTAGTGTCTACGTTGCAGTCTGAATTGGTTAATAGCACACAGCAGTTGACTATTCAAGATGAAGTGACTCATGATTATGATGAAATCTATCCGTTTTTTGATACCATTGATGACACTCAATCATATATGGATTCTAAGGAGGCTAATGACTCAAGGTATAGTATTTACTCTTTTCAGTACTAATAATGAATTTTTTATATGTGCTTTTTCATTTTCTAATTATTATTATTTTTTTAAATTATTTACAGTCCGGAATCATCGCCTAAAGAAACCACACAGTCTGTTAAGCATGTTGCAGGGAATAACTTAAGAAGTGCTGAACTCCAAGTAAATAAATCTTGTCCATTAAAGCTGTGTTTGTTACACAGGACTGAAAAAACCTTCTATAGGACTATTTTCTATGATGAGAATTAGGAGGGTATTCTCGTCTTTCTCACATTCGTGAGATAAAAAATTCCGTCCCACCTTTTTGGGTGGAATAAAAAACTTCAATATTTGTGTAAGAAATGGGACCTAATGAGGTTAAACATTCTTGACAACCAAATTTAACTTTTTTTTTTTTCTGAATTTAATCTGCAGCTAGGAATCATGAGTCAAGAATACCAGGCAATTGCTTAGATGAGTTGAGAGAACAAAAGTACACAGCTAAAAAGAGTGCCTTCTTTTACTTTGCTATAGCCAGACAGATATATAATCGTAAGGCGATAGATTAGCAGTGGTTCACTACAATTTTTTTTTTCTACATTTTTCCTAGTTTATTATTGCGGGAGTACATCGTACATTGAACAAAGTTGAGAGTTGTTTTTTCAGAATATTATTCTATTCATTTGTTATCGTTTTTCCTTCAGCATCAAAATATTGGTTCCATTTTTGCTAATATAGTACATGTACGCTTAATAGATGGATAAATACTTATTAGTAGTACTAAAATCTGACCCAAAATTCATGTATGTTTAAATATAACAACGATTAAGTCTTTTTATTTTCATAGTAGTTTAGTTTGGGCATCATATAAAACTAGCCTAAGTTAACTATTCAACTTGCAGGAAGAGAGACAGTTTTGACAGTTCATTTAGGAAAGGTAAGATGATTTACAGATGACCTACATCTACCACAGACAAAAGGCATCAAATCAATGAACACTGGGCAAAATTGAGGTAAACTTTTAAGTAACCCAAGAAAATATTTTTACTAAAGTGTGGAATGTGGTTGATGAAAAACATGGAAAAATGGAAGGGAAAAAAAAGACATGAGAGCAAATGTGCAAAAGTAGGACTTAATGGGGAAAGCCTCATTTCCCACTACTTTTCACATTAAGTCATTCTTTTTGCACCAAGTCAAATGAAAAAATGGCTAGAGACCAAAGTGGGACAAATAAAAAAGTATGTTGTTATACTATGAACTTAATCCACTAATTTAAAACATATAAATGGACTTCTATAGAAGATAGTGTCATTATAATACCTGCATGTCAGCCCATCATGACTTGCTACATATCCAGCTTAATAGTTGCAGGAAGTGTATTCTTGAGGCTGAAATCATCATCATCATCATCGTCAAGAGTTAATGAAGTATGCGATATCATATTAAATATGATATAAAACTTTAGAACGACAATAATGGCGTTTGTATGACCTTATAGAGTGGATGCTGGTACCAAAAAGAATCCACCGATAAGCAGTCATTGCAATTCTTGTAACGGAAATAATGGATGTGCTCGCATGATGAATTTTTTGTTCACATATGAATAACCTGCAATTGAACAAGGAATTGTCCTTAAGAACTTTAATGACTTTCAATCAAAGGATATCCATATAAAGTATGAGCGCGCAAAAGCTTAATAAAATTACAATATAAGCATATGCAGAGAAATTGAAGATCTTAAACTAAATAAAAATATAGAATCTGATTTCTGGATTCATACAGGGAAGGAGTAGTAAGAAAATAAATTTAGGGGAAATGAACAAACCTCGTCTTCCCCGGCAGATTGATAGTTCCAGAATCAAATCACGATTGAGTGCTTCGTGGAGCCGGCGATACGGACTTATGGAGGCCATGGGTACGAAGGAGAGGAAGCGTTGGCGCCTCCCTCCCGCCATAATTGGTTTTGTAACAAACTATCCATAGATTAGGCTAACTACGTTCAATTTAAACATAAAGATAACAAAACTTTTTGTTGAATTATTTTTACATATTCTGTTTATTTTTTTATTAGAATACTTGAATTAAAAATCTATCCAGTTATAATAATTTTTCTGTATATTTAAAAAATAACAACGATTTTTGTTGAATTGTTTTTTACAATATTTTGTTTTTTTATAATATTTTATTTTAATCCAGTTATAATAATCTTTTCTATATACATAACATTTTTGTTAGATTAGATGTAGAAATTATAATCTTCTAAAAAGAAAAAAGTTATAAGTACATTATTATAATTGAGTGTATATCTTTTTAAACTGTCTTGGTAAAAAAAACTATATTGTTATAATATAAGAAATGATTTTCTTATAAACGGTTTAATGTCCATGGTAAATTTATTGTATTAATAAAATAAAATAAAAAGTGTACAACGTATGAGTGAGTGAAACTCCCACACTTCATGATATGCCCTTAAAGTCACACTTCATCTGCAGTGACGGAGCTTGAACCTTTGTGTTGGGGTCGGAATTATAATAAGTATAAAAATTGGAAAACAGGGAGGGCCACAATCAATTTTTTTCGTCTTAGACCTAATATGTAAAATTTTCAATAGTACATGGACTAGTTTAAAACAAAAACAGGGGGGGCATAACCCCCCCCCCCCCTAAGAAGATTTGTCCCTATTCATCTGCATGGATCATTATATAAGTCAAATCTCTCCTCAACTATGCATTCAACCGTACCAACTTAGATGTCCTTTGCTAGTAGCCGCCTTCATACACATCTACACTGGAATAAGCCCCCTCCATGGTGTTACGAAGAATCTCGAATCTATTCGGAGATCTCCTTAGTGTATGCTTCAATTTTTCCATGACCTTTTTTTTCTTCTTATCACCCTCCATGCAAGGTTGTTGTCTTGGTTTACATTTTATAAATCGGGCAGATGATCCTTGCCTTTATTTTTTGATCTCACATGGTCACTGATAGATCTCATGTCCCTTGTTTTCGGTTTTCTTGTCTAATTCATTTGTTGAAGCTAGTTCCCTCTATGTTGTAATAACATCATCTTTAAAATGGAATCAACAACTTTTGTAGGTTTACTTCACTACCAAAAGCTCTAATTTCACATTGTTAACAATACAATTGACAAAATCAAAGCTTTTGACGTTGATGGAAGCTTATGATCACACAAATAACAATTGAGTTTGAGTACGAATCACTTTGATGACATCTCTACAAGCCTTGGGGATGAGAGTTGCAACTCCTTTGACGTGTTAGACTAAATGGCGGGAAGTAGAGGTGTCAATCCACGATACCAAAGGATGCGGAACAAAATTAGGACAAAACTGATATTCGAATTCGTGTTCGTATTATGTTTGTGTCTAGTGTAAAAAAACAATTTGACGTCGTGTTGTGTCATGTTCGTGTTTAAAATTTGACATGATTTTAACATGAGATTGTCGTGTTTTGTATGCTTAAGTATGGATTTAATAACTAATGGATATTTTATGTAATCTTTTGTCGTGTTTTAACTAGACCGTTTTCCTGTTATTTAAAAAAAACACAACATACTTCTTTGCACACCTTCCCTCCCATCTAATTTTGTGTCTAGCCTCTTTCCTATACGTCATATTGTATCGTGTTTGTGTTACATAAAAATTTGTCTTGTTATGTCACACAAATAAAAATACAACACGATTGTCCAGTTTGACACACCAACGGTAAGAGAACAACCACATAATCGATTCTTATAATTTTCTCTTATGTATTTGACAATTGGTAAGCATTTTTTTTTCAAAATTGGTGTTATTTATATTTCTAACATCAGAACATTACATTGATTGATAAAAAAATAAATATTATATACTATTCAACAGATTTATCATAAATGGTTAAGATCATATGTGGATCTAGAACCAGATTTCAATGAGGCAAATGCTTAATTAACTTAATACAAAATAAAATTAAATAATATTAGAAATACAACGTGACTATCAATTCAAGTATATATACCAATTTTAGTTATGAGCTTAAACACCTAATCCAACAGTTGAAACTTCAAAAAATCATAACTTCCTCATATGAAGTCAGATTTGGATGTTCTCTATATACACGTTCTTGCTTTTACGATTACTATGACTTTCGTTTAGATCATTTCGGATAATAAGCAACCCATCTCCAATTCATTTTTTATGACGTGCATATCTATGTTTGTTTGATCATAAAACTTCGAAGGAGCACAACTTCTTTATACGAAGTCAGATTTAAACGTTCCTTATGTGTACGAAATCTTTGCCACATTTACTATAACTTTGGTTGAGATTATTATTAATAAATAATTTTCTATAAAAATCAACTATTTATCGCTCGATCGACAAATAATTATTACTTATTATATCCTAAATTTCTAGCCCGAATTAGCGGGTGTTATATAAAAATGAATATAAATTATTTGTTCATAAAAAATAATAAAGAAACAAAAGAATTTATAAAAATAATAAGGAACAAAAGAATTTATAAAGGGAAACTAAGTAACCTTACCATTATAAATGAGTTTTTCAAATAAAATTATCATATTTTTTTAGTTTATGAAAAATAACTGTTTACTTCTGAATGCCCCATTCCAAAGTATTGTTCATATTCAAAAGTTTTTTTTTCCAATTATATTTCAAAGAAATCTCTTTATTTATATCCGGAATGTTTATTTAGAGGTGTCCAAATAGGCACTTACTCCCGAATGCCCCATTCCGATTTTGATCTTCAAATTTTGATGTTATTTTGGTTTTTTTTTCCTATTTATTTATTGAAAGAAATATCCATATTTATGTCTGAAATGTCTACTTCAAAGTGTTTAATCATTTTCAATAAATTGTCTAACTTTATACACTAATATAATATATAATTCATATTTACTATGTTTATTTAATTTTTATTAAGTTTAAGTAAAAAAAAATATTTTTTTTTCTCGAAATTTTGAAATTATTCATCATATTGTTGAAATGCTAGAGTTTTTTTTTCTTGGAAATTGTTAGGTGCAATTTGTGCACCTTTTTACACACATTTTAGTCCCTTTTTCTGCATCCATTTAGCATAATTGTTCTTCCTTTTTCTTGCATTTCATCATATTCATGTTAGTCTCTAGAATAACCTTATTTGCACACTTTCATGTCTTTTTCAGGTAAACCGGAGGTTGGAACACGCTTTGGGAGGTGCCAGGAAGCATTGGTGAAGATTTCAGGATGATCGGACGAAGAGTGGAAAAGTTGAAAACATGAAGTTTGGAATTGGAGTCAGAGGGGTACACGGGGAGTGTTGGGTTTACTCTGCAAAAGGAGCACGGGTCGTGTTGACCAGAAAAAGGGGGCTGTTGACTATACTGAACACGACCCGTGTCAATTTGTTCTATTTTGAGCCGTGTTGACCCATACTTTGGGATGAAAAATCGAGGATTGCTGGCTATTTCCCACTCAACACGACCCGTGTTGATTTGTTTTATTTTGACACGGGCCGTGTTCGACCCAAAAACCAACTTTTGGCAGTTTTTTCTATTTTGCATATCACGGGAATTGGGTCATTTTTACATACACACATCATATCAGGGCACTATTGGTGAGGGGATTTCGAAGGCTTTTGCAAGGATTTGATCGTTTAGCATT